AGGATCGCTTGAGCCCAGGAGTTTGAGGTTGCTGTGAGCTAGGCTGATGCCACGGCATTCACTCTAGCCTGGGCAACAAAGCGAGACTCGTCTCAAAAAAAAAAAAAAGAAAGATGACTAAAGCTGATTTAGTTTTATTTATGGAAACCTCTGTGGGTGCCAGAAATTCTCAGGTTTAAGGGGAAAAGCTAGGATTAAAGAGCAGTATGTAAGCTATATTCAGTGTCATTAGACTTACCAAATTTCTGGTATAGACGTGTAAAGCTAGCTCAGCATATCTTTAATGGACTTTCCAAGAGAAGTGGAGAAACAGTCTTTTCCCTCCTGGAAATAATTGTTGTTCCTGTTTGACTTTGACTAGGGTGGTCAGGTATCTTGAGATTCTGGGAAGAAACATGATAAATATACCTCGTCCTTATTTAGTCACTTAGTCGTTACTCCCTCATGTTGTTTTAACATTGAAAAAGACTGGTGCTTCAAGAACACAAGTGTCTCAATGTTGTAGAAATCGGAAATTTTTAATTTAAATTTCTAAAGAAAATTTTCTGTGTGTTCCACTGATGGCATGAAAACTTTTTCAGGTGGTGAAATTAAAAGGCCAGGTGCTGTCTGTCATGTTCCGGTTCCGGTCCAAGAATCGAGAATGGCTCTGGATGAGAACTAGTTCCTTTACTTTCCAGAACCCTTACTCAGATGAAATTGAGTACATCATCTGTACCAACACCAATGTGAAGTATGTACCATACAGGCTGAGTAGAAAAAGAAACTGTTTTTCCTCTGCTCTTACACCACAAAATATTTCTGACACCAGATTTGTGTGGGTTTTTACACACCAAGTAAGCATTCATTTCTGCAGTGGACACCAGGTGGGTGTCCTTCAATTCAATTCAGTTTACTGTCTACCTGGAGATAGCATCAGATCTCTCAGGTTGAGAGCTCAGTCTCATAAGACTGCCCCCACTTCTGATGCCAGTTGCAAGCCCCAGGTTGTTTTACCTGTGCTTTTGACCGACCCGCTATAAATTGAAATTCCTGCAGTCCTCTCCTTAGGTTCGATTAATTTGCTTGAGTGTCTTACAGAACTCAGAGAAACACTTACTTACATTTACCGGTTTATTATATAGGATATTACAAAGGATGATGAATACCAGAAGAAGAAATAGATAGGGCAAGGTATAGGGAAAGGAGCCCAGAGCTTCCATGCCCTTTCCAGGTGTGCTACCTTCCAGGAATCTCCCCGTGTTTATCTATCCAGAAGCTCCTCAAACCCAGTTCTTTTGGATTTTTATGGATGTGTCATTAAATAGGCATGATTGATTATATCATTGGCCGTTGGTGATCGGCTTGACCATCAGCTACCTCACCTCCCCAAGGTTGGGGACTGGGGCTAAATTAAGTCCCAACCAACTAATCTTGCCTTGGTCTTCCCATGACTGCTCCCATCCTGAAGCTACCTAGGGGCTGCCAGCCCAGAGTCAACTCATTGACATACGAAAAGACACTTATCACTTTGAAGATTCCCAGAATTTTAGGAATCAGGAAACAGGATGAGACCAAATATATATAGTTGACCCTTGAGCAGCCTGGGTTTGAATTGTGCAGGTCCACTTATGTGTGGATTCTTTTCAATACATATATTGAAAAGTTTTTTCGATATTTGTGACAATTGGAAAAAACTTGCAGATAAACTGCATAACCTAGAAGTATTAATATCAAAAAATTAAGAAAAAGGTATGTCATGAATGCATAAAATATATGTAAATGATAGCCTATTTTATTTACTACCATAAAATATACATAAATCTGTTATAAAAAGTTTAAATTTATCAAAACTTACCCAAACACAGACCATACATGGCACCATTCTTAGTCTACAGAAATGTAAACACAAGTAAAGATGCAAGGCTTCTTCATAAGGCAGCTCACACCTGTAATTCTAGAACGTTGGGAGGCTGTGCAGAAGGATTGCTTGAAGCCAGGAGTTTAAAATTAGCCTGAGCAACATAGCAAGACCCCCGACTCTACAAAAAATTAAAAAACTAGCAAGGCATCATGGTGTGTCCCTGGAGTCTTGGCTGTTTGGGAGGCTGAGGCAGGAGGATCACTTGAGCTCAGAAGTTGGAGGCTGGCAGTGAGCTATTGTCATGCCACTGCATTCCAGCTTGGGTGACAGAGTGAGACCCTGTCTCTTAAAAAAAAAGTAAAGATGCAGTATTAAATCATCACTGCATAAAATTAACTGTAGTACATATTGTACTGCTATAATAATTTTATAACCACATCCTGTTGCTATTGCAGCATGCTCAACTGTTACAAGTATCCACTTAAAATGCTGTGTGACACCAATCATCTCTGTGTGAGCAGTTCTTCCCTCCAGTAAATTGTATTATATATGGCAGTAAAAACTGATCTCCCGAGGTTCTTGTGTATTTTTCATTGTGTTTAGTGCAATACCATACGAAGTACCACTAGCGATGCTGAAATTGTTTCCAAGAAGCAGAGAAAAGTAATGTAATTATAAGAAAAGTTGTTTGATGTATACCATAGATTGAGGACTGCAGGTGCACTTGCTTGCTATTCCAGACAGACCATTCATCTCATAAACAGATGATATCAATAAATACAGTATAGTACTATAAATGTATTATCTCTTCCTTATGATTTTTTTCCTTCTACAACAGTCATCTTAGACTTATGATATTCTTAATAACAGATTTCTCTTCTCTAGCTTACTTTATTGCATGCATACAGCATATACTCCATGTAACATACAAAGTATGTGTTAACTGTTTATATTATCAATAAGGATTCTAGTAAACAGTAGGTTATTAGTAAAGTTTTGAGGGAGTCAGAAGTTATACTTGGATATTTTACTGTAAAACTGGGGTTCGATGCCCCAGCCCCCACGTTGTTCAGGGGTCAGCTATGTTTCATAATATCACAGAAGTCTTTTCCAGTGTTGGGATTTCTCATGGGCGAAGTCTGCTTAGCTTTATCAAGCTATCTCCTTCTCCACTTTTCCAATATTAAACACCATTAATTTGAAGTTCCTCATTTTCCAACTTACAGGATTTGGGATAGTTGATCAAGGTAGAGTAAAATTTTAACAAACAGTAGTTCAGAGACTAGGTCCTGAGATGGGGGGGTTTATGTTTCTATTTTATGTATCAACCCTTTCTAGAAAGGATTTTGTTGTATATGCCAGTTTATTGCTGTAGTCTGGCAGGATTTTACTCTAGAGCAGGGGTCAGCAAACTCTTTCTGTAAAGGGATAGGTAGTAAGTATTTTAGATTTTGTGGGTCATATGGTCTTTATTGCAACTATTCAGCTCTGTTGTAGCATGAAAACAGTCATAGATAAATGAAAGAACATGCCTGTGTTCCAATAAAGCTGTGTTTTTATTTACAAAAACAGGCAGTAGGCCAGATTTGGTCGATGGACCATAGTTTGCTTTAGAGCATAGCTATATCCCACTCTTTCATTAGTTTCTATTCCTCTCTCTGATTCTTTTCTATTTGAGCTTTCTTTCTCAGCTTCTTTTTTAAAAAGTTTCTTTGAGATACATTTCATGTATCGTACAGTTCACCCATTTTAAAGTGTACAGTGTTTTTTTAGTATATCACACAGTCATGCAACTATTACCACAATCTAATTTAAGAACATTTTCATCCCCCCCTAAAAGAAATCCTGTACCCATTAGCAGTCATTCTTCCTTCTCCCTCCTCCCTCCTGAGCCCTATATAACCACTAATCTACTGTCTCTATAAAGTTGCCTATTCTAGACATTTCATATAAGTGGAATCACAGAGTTTACGGTTCCTTTGTGACTGGCCTCTTTCACTTCATGTAATGTTTTTAAGGGTCATCCATGTTGCAGCATGTATCAGTACTTTATTCTTTTGTTGTTGTGTTTTTTGGAGACAGAGTCTTGCTATCGCCCTGGCTAGAGTGCAGTGGCATCATCATGGCTCACTACAACCTCAAATTCCTGAGCTCAAACAATCCTCAGCCTTCCAGGTAGCTGGGACTACAGATGTGTGCCACCATGCCTGCTAATTTTTTCTATTTTTAGTAGAGATGAGGTCTCACTCTTGCTCTGGTTGGTCTCAAACTCCTGACCTCCAGCAGTCCTCTCACCTTGGCCTCCCAGAGTGCTAGGATTACAGGCTTGAGCCACTGCACCTGACCAATTCATTTCTTTTTATTGCCAAATAATATTCCATTGTATAGATGTACCACATTTTTTCTGTCAGTTCATCATTTGGTGGACATTGTGTCGTTTCTACTTTTTGGCTGTCAATAGTGCTGCCACGAACATTTGTGTACTAGTTTTTGTGTGGATATATATTTTTATTCTCTTGGGTATATACCCAGAGTGGAATTGCTAGGTCACATGGTAACTCTGTTAACTTTTTGAGGAACTACCAAACTATTTTCCAAAGCTGCCCCACCATTTTTATTTTTATTTTTATTTTTTTTTAGAGATGGGGGTCTCACTCTCGCTTTGTTGCCCAGGCAGAAGGGCAGTGGTGCAATTATAGCTCACTGCAGCCTTGAACTCCTGGGCTCAAGTGATCCTCCTGCCTCAACCTCCTGAGTTCCTGGGATTACAGGCGTAAGCTACTGCCTCTGGCAGAGCCCCATCATTTTAAATTCCCACCAGCAATTTATGAGGGTTCTAGTTTCTCCACATCTTTGTCAACTTTTGCTATTGTGTCTTTTTTATTATAACCATCTAATGAGTGTCAATTGGCAGGTTACTTCTTTGCCATTTAATCTACTTCTGTAGAATTGGCCTTGAACCCAGCTCTTGAAGATCAGATTATGAATACTTAGCAAGTGTGCATAATACCTGGTGATAACAGTTAATATTGTCCAGTTCAGTCTTTAGAACTCGTAAAGTTTAATTCTTTGCTAAATAAGTATAACACAATGGATTGAGTTAGAAACTTTTGTTAATTTAAGACTCAAGCGTATGGTCATGGTCATTATAGCTTTTTGTTTTTGTCTTTTTCTTTTTGCGTCTTTATATTATACAACAAATATTTTGTGCTTCCATTTGTTTAAAAAATTTTTGAGTCCTTTTAATCACTAAAGTTGCTTGAAATAATGGCTTTCTCCACTGCTACATATAATTTCCCCCTACTGCAATTAATTTTAATTAGCTTTTAATATTTTCTTTTTAAATAAATATTCTTTATAGAAAATCTGGAAAGTATTGAAAAGTATAGAGAGAAAGTAAAAAATTCTCACACTCCTGATGGTCTTTGTTAATGCTTCAGGGTGTGTATTTTCAGTTTCTTACCTGTGCTTTTAAAAAATACACTATGTGGATATATATACATCCACAACAACCAGCTATTGAATATCTAGGACTTAGAACCCAAACAGGATGAAACCTTGTGCCATAGGACATAGTTTCTATTTGTACCATGCTGTCCATACTGTGAATTATTTGCTGAAACTGAGGTTATAGATTACTTGTAGCATTGGACTTTAAAGGGGAATTTATTATTGATCCACTTACAGATGAATCTGTAGAGCTTTATGTACAGAGTCAGATTCTTTTTTTTTTTTTTTTCCCCTTCTCTATTTTGTCTACTCTGTTTTCCTAGGAACTCTAGCCAGGAACCACGGCCTGCACTATCCAACACAATCCAGAGGCCACAGCTAGGTCCTACAGCCAATTTACCCCTGGAGATGGGCTCAGGGCAGCTGGCACCCAGGTAAGAAATGGTGGAAGAATCATCTTCCAATATCTGAGTGGAAGTCAGTAGCAGTCAGTAGCCCACGGGTGGCTCTTTGCAACCCTGCTTATTTTTTGTTTGGTTTTTGCTTATTTTTTTTTAAGATCCTTTCTCCAGATTCTTTTAAAAAATCTTTTTTCCTGTTTCTCTTCTCACTGGCCTTTGACTTACAGACAGCAGCAACAGCAAACAGAATTGGACATGGTACCAGGAAGAGATGGACTGGCCAGCTACAATCATTCCCAGGTGAGTGTGTGTCTTCTTCCTTGAAGAGGATAGTGAGCATTTTTTAAAGAAATGTCCTTCAGTGCCAGTTAGAGTGAGTGTATATGTATTTTATATGAATTTCAGGGTTATCGAATTGTCATGTTAAACCTTTAATGGTTATTTTTATCACTGTATTCCACAGGTTTCTGTTCAGCCTGTGACAACCACAGGACCAGAGCACAGCAAGCCCCTTGAGAAGTCAGATGGTCTATTTGCCCAAGATAGAGACCCAAGATTTTCAGAAATCTATTCCAACATCAATGCAGGTATGTTTCTTCCTCATTCCCCTTTTAAATTCTCATTTAGATCACTCACTGATGGGACTGCCACTGCCTAATCAGTAATCTTCCAGTGTATTTCCACTTAATCATAATACCTCATGAGTAAATAGGAACTTGCTGAACTAATATACTACAGCCCCTTGACTGGCCCTCCCCCCACTCCTTTTGGTCCACAGATCAGAGTAAAAGCATCTCCTCCAGCACTGTCCCTGCCACCCAACAGCTATTCTCCCAGGGCAACACATTCCCTCCTACCCCCCGGCCGGCAGAGAATTTCAGGTGAGCCCCAAATATGTGTGCCGCTTTACAAGGCCCTAAGAGGATTCAGTTACTGAATCCAAATTTTATTCTTTCCTTGCTTTCTCTGGTTATTTCAGATAAAACAGCAGAGCTTGTAGGGCCTAGGGTGAGGCAAACAAGCTGCTTTTTTTCCTCCTATATCTTTGCACCTGTCCTATTGCCATGTTCTAGGCTCCATCTCTGTATGTCCTGGTCAGTGTGTGACTGTCTTTCTTGTCTTTTCCTAATTATATTATCAAATTTTCCTTAACCCCAAGGAAACCAAGGGAATCTAGGGATAGCACTAGATTGTCCTTTGATTCCTAGCTTCTGTGGTAAATCCATTCTTTTAATCATTTACCTCACTATTTGTTCAAACCTAGGAATAGTGGTCTGGCCCCTCCTGTAACCATCGTCCAACCATCAGCTTCTGCTGGACAGATGTTGGCCCAGATTTCCCGCCACTCCAACCCCACCCAGGGATCAGCCCCAACTTGGACCCCTAGTACCCGCCCAGGCTTCTCTGCCCAGGTAAAACTTCTTATCTGTTTGACCTCTGCATTGTTGTTTAGTTGGTTGGGCTTTTTTTCCATATGTAAAATTATTGTTTATTTTAAATACTTTCTTCCTAACCCCTGTACTCTACCTTTCAATTTTCATCTTGCCGTGAGAGGAGCTAGGTAATTAAAAATCACAGATCATCAAAAAATCTTATTAGAGTCCATGATTTCCACATATTCACCTTAAATCAGAATTGCTCACACAGAACATTTTGAGCAGGTTTAATTTTCAGATTTGGAGTAAATTCTAAGAGATTTCCTATTTGTTTAGGACTATATAATATAGGAACAAAGGAGAAAGTTAATTATACAATGATATCTATTTACAAAAAAATTGAAAATTGTTATATAATATACATATTCATATGTAATATAAATATGTTAAGTCTAAAGCAAATATTATCTAATAATTACTATATATTTATATAAGTAATATTTCAAATTGAAAAGTCAAAACCAAAAAAGCAGGCTCCAGAATGTTATATGCAGTATGATCTTAATTGTCTACAAAATGCATATGAAAATTAAAACTGGAAGAAATTATACAGATATGTTAACCATGGGTCTCTGGTGATGGAATGATGAATGATTCTTTTCTTTTTATTTTCCTTCACTTTCCAAATATTTCACAGTGCATATGCATTACTGTTATGGTGAGAAAAAATGTTTAGTTTTTATAAAAAAGACATCATTAGGAACAAATGAATGCAGAACAGACTGAGTAATGGTACAAAGAGTTTTTTCTTTACATATAATACTCTACTATTATTAATGCCTCTAGTTTTATATAACTTTACAGTTCATAAAATGCTTTCATTTAATACAACTTTTTTTTAATCCCATAGTTCTTTGACTTTTGCACTTTTATCTTAGCTGTCTAAAAAATAATGTTAAGAGAGATTGGGATTCAATCAGAAGAAATACACAGGAGGAAATAAGTGGTGAGCTCGGTTCAGAAGGATGAAGTGATTAACAGTGTTGACTCTCATAGGCACGGTTTGTACAATAATGTTAACGTTCCATTTGTTCTCTATCCCATTTTCTCTTTAGCAGGTGACTACCCAGGCTACAGCCAAGACTCGTACTTCCCAATTTGGTGTGGGCAACTTTCAGACTCCATCCTCCTTCAGCCCCATGTCCCTCCCTGGTCCTCCCACTGCATCACCTGGTGCTGCTGCCTACCCTAGTCTCAGCAATCGTGGATCCAGCTTTGGTAAGTTCAGACCAGAAGGAAGGTAACAGGAAAATCGTACCACTAAATAGAAAGGATTAGGTAGTTAAAATTGTTTGCTTGTGTCCTGGTTGCACTGATCTAATTGTAGGGAAATGCAAGGTGACCCTCTATTTGGAATTTAAAACTTACCCACGTGAAAAACACTTTTAGCACATATAATAAGCATGTAAATTGTTATAAATTTAATAGTATGCAGATTTAATCTAAATGAGCAAAGGACTCTTTGGAAAGGCTTCTTAGAGAAGAAAAATTAATTTGGGGATGGGTTTTGAAATAGAAGAGGTATTGATTGGCAGAGAGGAGGAAAGAAGTTATCCTAGGTAAAAGTAATGGCTTATATGTAGTTATATGCCAGTTTCTCCTCTCCAGTGGAGATTAGAGTTGTTTATTCTTCCTGGCTGTGTTTCTAGCTTCTGAGACTGGACAGACTACAGGACAATTCCAGACACGGACGACAGAGGGTGTCGGTGTCTGGCCTCAGTGGCAAGGCCAGCAGGCTCATCATCGTTCAAGTTCTAGTGAGCAGCATGTTCAACAGCCATCAGCACAGCAACCTGGTCAGCCTGAGGTCTTCCAGGTGAGAAGGTGAAAAGATTTCAGAAAATCAGAAACTATTTACAACCAGCCACAGGTCCGAAAAAAAAAAGAAAGAAAATCAGAAATTGGAAGAGAGAGGGTCAAGGAGGAGAAATGGAGAAGGAAGCATACCTGAATTGAGTTTGGTTAGGGGTGTGTGTGAGAAGACAGGGATTAATGTAGGAATAAGTGTCAGTAATTGCAAAGATTATGGAAGCCAGGTGTAGTGGTGCATAGTCCCAGCTACTCAGGATATTGAGGCAGAGGATCATTTGAGCCCAGGAGTTTGAGGTCAGCTTGAGCAACATAGAGTGAACTCATCTCTTAAAAAAAAAAAGATTGTGAACTTAGTGTAATGCTCACCCTTTAACCAGAATGAACAAGTTCAGTGATGTGAAGCACCATAGGAAGATGCCAGAGAAAGTTACTTTAGTTCATTCAAGGAGATCCACATCCCCACTTCCCAGTAGCTCTGGATTATTTAAAAAAATGTATATAAAATAGAACATATTGATTATACCTATAAAAGTCTGTTTACACAAGTTCTGAGGGGACAACAAGAGTGAATGGAGTAATCTTAAGCAGGACAAAGGAGGAGCTAGTTTAAAGCAAAGAGTGAAAGAAGGCAAAACAGGTTTGGGTGGAAAATAAATAGAATAAGAGACTCCATATATGTCTATAGGGGGTTGTATGAAATGTGGCAAGCAGATTTTTCTCCCTTTGAAAATATTAAGGACTAGAAAAAGGAAACAGAACTGTAGGAGGAAGACAGAGAAGGGACTAGGAAAAAGACTGTGATCTAAAGGAGTCAAGAGTTGTTGGAAGTAAGGAAGGCTAAGAGAGCTCAGCACAGCAGAGACTCTTGGGGTCAAGGATGGTGGTGCAGGGGAATGTTGGGAGGAAACTTGATAAATGGAAGAGATCAAGGTATGTGACTCAAACTTAATCTTTTTCTCTCATTAGGAGATGCTCTCCATGCTGGGAGACCAGAGCAACAGCTATAACAATGAAGAATTTCCTGATTTAACTATGTTTCCCTCTTTTTCAGAATAGAGCTATTGGGGTGAGGATAAGGGGTGGGGGAGAAAAATCACTGTTTGTTTTTTAAAAGCAAATCTTTCTGTAAACAGAATAAAAGTTCCTCTCCCTTCCCTTCCCTCACCCCTGACATGTACCCCCTTTCCCTTCTGGCTTTTCTCCGGCCCTCCTGCCTCTCTGAGGTAACATTTATAGAAGAAATTGACTGAATCCCCAAGGCTTTTAGGACCCTTTGAAAATTTGAGGCTGGGTGAAGTTAGAATGCCTTTCCTTATGCCTCCTGACCAGAAGTTGTACAGTGATGATTTATGCTAGGGTCAAGAAGCAGGTTAGAAGAATCTGTCATCCACTATTTGCCTTGAATACTATGTCTTGTTTTTAGAAAAAAAATTATTCATAAAGAGTGGAAGAGAGGAGAAATGTCCTCATATTTGAGGGCCGTGAAACATGGTAGGTATATATGGGGCTTTAGGAAGTAAGCATAGGCTCTTTTTGCTGCCTGTGAGCAATTCTTCTGGAAAGAAACATGTTAGTGAGAGAGAGAAAATGTGTGTGCGTGTGTGTGCACGTGTAGGCTGTGCACGTTTCTTGTATTTCTTTCTTTCTCCCTATTAGGGAGTTATGCAAAATTTGTCCCAGATTTTATCGTTGTCTTTAGTGTGCTTTTCAAAGAGTCCTAAGGAGTTAAATCTTCCAGGCATTTTCTACTTAATATTGCCCAGCCAAAGAGTATTTAAATAAATGTCTTTGCTTCGCTTACATCCATGCCTAGCCAACATGCAACTGTAAAACAGATTTATACAGTCTTCTGTTGATATGGTTGGTCTCTCATCGAACATATTCAGTGATAAAGCTGGATTACTCCTGCTTTTGGTGCTCTCACTTTATTTGGAAGATCTGCAAACATTACTAAAATAGGCTGGCAAGATAAACACTTTCAGAAACCCTAGACTTGGCCATAAGGATAATGCTGCATTTTTCTGTCAGAATCACATATGATGTGTGTTCTGTAGAGGTTATTTCTGCATGGAAACTCAACTTCTTGGATTAGTAGTCCAGTGAAATCCTCCCTATTGGACTGTAAACCAAATACAGAGCCCTCTTTGCAAAGTAGCCTCTTTCATCCCATCCTCAAAATATCTATTTTAGCAAGAAACTGAGATATAGGTGTTTCCTGGGCCTATAGTTCTTTCTTTTTTGCTCCCTCTTTAATCTTGAGATTGGGTTTTGCTTTAGAGTGCAAGTATAACAACTCTGTGTGACGGATGAAGTCTGGATGCCCGTCCCAACAGGGTCACTTGGTAATTAACTATAGCCATATAGACGCTGATAAAGGATACTACTCTCACCCTTTCCCTTCCTCAGGTAACGGTCATGTATACCAGCTTTTTTTTTTTTTGTAATTGGCTCCGGCCAGTATGTAAGTGCAAGACTGAATTAATGAGAAGATACGTTAAATGTAGTCACAGGGACTAAGGAGCACAGTTGGCCTTGGAGAGGCTGAAGGAATATCATTTACCAGGTTTTCCCTCCCTTTTGTCTCCAGTCTGGTTCCAGGTAATGGAGTGAAAAAGGAGACAGTTTATTTTTTTATTCTATGTGCACACAGTATACGTGTATATTTATATCACAGTTTATGAAACCAAAAAGTTGAGTTTCCAATGGAATCTGTGTTTTTTAATAATCAACTGTTTTTAAATGTGATCAGGACTATAATATTGTACAGTTATTATAGGGCTTTCGGGGAAGGGGAGGATAGGGAGAAGATGCTCTGGGGGTTTTGTTTCTGCTTTTCCTTCAGGGTTTTATTTTTGATTGTTTTCTTGTTGGCCATTTCTGTATTGCTGGCATCTGTGCTAAGCCTTACAGTGGCAAAAGTAATGATATGTAGCAAAGATTTTAAAACAAAATATTTTTTCCTTTTGTAAAATTTCTTGTGTTGTGTGATCTTGATTGCGGCTTTATCATTCCTTTTCAGCTCATAAACAACAAACACCCACAACTAAAGGGATCCATAGCTTGAGCTCCAAACATGCAACCATAAAGCACATTGTGAGTCTTTAATTTCAGGAATCAGAAATCACAGGGCTCTGATCACTCTGTGTCCTTCCCCGTCACTAGTCCTCCTGATCCTGACACATTCTGAGTAAAATCAGCCTGGACATTCTGTGAGATGGGGGTTGCGGGGTGGGGATTGTCCAAGTCCTTGGGAGAGAAGGGGGAAGAGGTGGAACTTGAAACCACATATGGATACCTTCTTTCAATATGTCCTCTTCTGGATTAAAAGGAGTTGGGGATGGGGAAATTTATTTATTTATTTATTTATCTGTTTGTTTATTTATTTTTTTTGAGACAGAGTCTGGCTCTGTTGCCCTGGCTAGAGTGCCGTGGCGTCAGCCTAGCTCACAGCAACCTCAAACTCCTGGGCTCAAGCGATCCTCCTGCCTCAGCCTCCCAAGTAGCTGGGACTACAGGCATGCGCCACCATGTCCCACTAACTTTTTTCTATATATATATTTTTAGTTTGTTCAGATAATTTCTTTCTATTTTTAGTAGAGACGGGGTCTCGCTCTTGCTCAGGCTGATCTTGAACCCCTGACCTTGAGCAATCCACCCGCCTCGGCCTCCCAGAGTGCTAGGATTACAGGCGTGAGCCACCGCGCTGGCCTTTTTTTTTTTTTTATTTAGTTTCTTATTAAATTCCAAAGGGATGAGGAAATTTAAACTGTTCAGGTCTGGACCTGGTTTCTCTCTAGCACCATGTTGGCTCATTAACAACTCTTAAAATCCAGAGCCATAAGCCTGTGTTCTTGAGGGTCTACCTGTGGAATCTTGCTAGAAACTGAATCTAGATCCCATGTATTAGGTCATTAAATATGAAATGTCTGATTTTGAATCAATATTATATCTCAAACAAGAAGTAGTACAATTAAAGTACACACCTAAACTATTGACACAGTTTTGCCATCTTAAGGGTAGCTTGTTTATGCCAGCAGCGAAGAAGCCTGGAAAGCGAGTGGCGATGAAATTGTGAAAGGTATTTTCCACAGCTTTTCGAGAATTGAATATTTTTCCTTGCAAGAAGTAGTCCACAGACTGCAAGAAGTGGTAGTCAGTTGGTGCAAGGTCTGGTGAATACAGTGGGTGACAGAGAGTTTCCAAGTCCAGCCTCTGTAGTTTGAGCAGCATTGTCTTGCAAGAGGATTGGCCTATCTCTGTTGACCAATCTCAGCTGCTTAATTGCAAGCATTCTCATTTCATCAGTTGGTTGCAGCAGGCATCCTCCGTAATGGATTGACCAGGTTCATGAAGCTGTAGTAGATAATACAAGTGCTGGACCACCAAACAGACACCATTAGCTTTTTTTGATGAATATTCTGTTTTGGACTACGTTTTGGCACTTCACCTTTATCCAACTTATGTGCCAGACACTTGGGATTGTCAAAAAGAATCTATTTTTTCATCACACGTAACAATACGATGTAGAAATGGTTCACCTTTATGTCATGACAGCAAAGAAAGGCAAGCATCAAAACAATTTCTCTTCTGATGCTCATGTAATTCATGAGGTACTCATCTATTCAGCTTCTCTACCTTGCCCATTTGTTTCAAATGGTCCAATATTGTTGGAATAGTAACGTTAAGCCTTGCTGCTAATTCATGCAGAGGTTGAGATGGATTCACTTCCACTACAGCTTTCAGCTTATCATTATCCACCTTGGTCTCAGGTCGCCCACATGGCTCATTTTTAAGATTAACGTCACCAGAACGAAAACTTCTCAAACCATTGATGTACTTGTGCATTTATTAGCCACATCCTTCCCAAACACTTCATTGATATTTCGAGCTGTCTGTGCAGCATTGGTTCCAGATGGAACTCATACTCGAAAATAACATGAATTTTTGACTTATCCCTGGTTTCACAAAAATTGCTCTAAAAATTTTTTTTAAAAGATAATTACGGCCAGGTGCGGTGGCTCACGCCTGTAATCCAAACACTTTGGGAGGCCGAGGCGGGTGGATCACTCAAGGCCAGGAGTTCGAGACCAGCCTGAGCAAGAGCGAGACCCCATCTCTACTAAAAAATAGGAAGAAATGATCTGGACAACTAAAAATATATAGAAAAAATTAGCCGGGCATGGTGGCACATGCCTGTAGTCCCAGCTACCCGGGAGGCTGAGACAATAGGATCGCTTGCGCCCAGGAGTTTGAGTTTGCTGTGAGCTAGGCTGATGCCATGGCACTCTAGCCCGGGCAACAGAGTGACACTCTGTCTCAAAAAAAATAAAAAAAAAGAAAAGATAATTACGAGCCAAACCATGTGTTTGAAAGAATGAGGATGTACCTTCACAATAAAAATAAAACAAGAAGTGTCAAAGTGAAATGTCAGAGAAACTTAGTACTTAAGGAAATTGGACATTTCACACTTAATAACCTAACATCCTTTCTATTACAAGGACCCTCTTTCCCTATGTCTGTTTATGGAAGAAAATGAAGTTGAGGAGTGTGGTTTGGGAGCTGAGCTAGATTCTTGTGATCTGTCACATGCCTGGATGTTGGGGAAGCAGTTGGAGAAGCTCATGTGACTGGGACTTAGATTGGGGATTTTAATAATTGAGACATGATGTTCATCAGGCATCTCACCATCTGAGAGTTTTAGCAACAGAGTCACATGTGAATCCATCAGGACTTATGGCATTGATTCATATGCTGTCATAAATAACCAGGAGTGCAGGGTTTTGGTTGCTTTTAGAGCCAATTTCATCAACGTTTGGGCATATGCTCCCTCAGCAAAGCATGTTAAGCGGGGAAAACTATTCCCCTGCCTGGAATTGATAACAGCTTTTAGCCAGCAAACATAAAATACAGCTTTGGTGCCTATGACTTCCTTTACTCTTTTCTACCCTTTTGTGTTTATTCCCTCATACCAGAGGTGAGGGTCAAACACAAATTTAAAAACAGTTTTCAGTGTTGGGGAGGTAGGTTATAACAGGAAAATGGTAGGAAAAGATGTAATCCTCCAATAGTATAATAAAAGATATTAAAGAAGGAGGATGGGGGAGACTAGGGCTGTATCATTCCATTTGCTCACCAAAAGAGAAGGTAAGCCCCTACTTGAGTAATATGTATTGAGGTCTTTTTTTGTCTGCCACCAAAGACAGTCATGTGAGAATACCTAGCAACTCTCCACTCTGGCACATGCACTGCACACACAGAAAAACACTGCAAATCCGCTGCCTCCTTCCCTCCTCCCTAAACCCCCCTTCTCTCAGCATTTCTATCCCCGCCTCCTCTTATCCACATTTTCCAGCCGACTGCTGGAGCTGACTTCCGCAATCCTGATGGAATAAATCTGGCACCCCCAGTCATCTGCCCACACTCGCTGCCGAAACCATTCCAGACAACAGATTCCCATCAGCAGGTAACATTTTCAACTTCCTAGATCTTTCAGCTTTTCTTTCCTGCCAATTTTCTATTTTAGGAGTATTAGGGACATGGTGACTTGGGGATCAAAATAAATTTTTTAGGCCCTGTGGATGAAAACAGAGATACACTTCTTAGGTCATTTCCTGGCCAAATAAAGTCTGCCTGGAAATCTTTAGGATTCCTTGTATGATATTTATGATATGATATATGATACATATATGGTCGTTAGTAAAAGCAAAGGACATAGAGAATCCTTACCCATCCCTCCAGAGTGGCCCCTCAGGGTTTTCTGCCTTGGCCAAAAAGGACCAAAAGTGTTAACTCACTAATGGGGAAGAGGAGTGGTATAGAAAAATGGTACCTCAGTGCTTCCTATTCTCTGAGACATCTCAAAGCCCTTAGCACTCCAGCTGTTAATTTTGCCAGCTTGCAAAGATTACAGAAAAATGGACCATAAATTAAGAAATTATGCAAGCTGTATGACTTCCTGCAGGCTGCAAATTTTTATTAAAATGGAGGACTTGTAATTAAGCAAGCCAATGCAAGAAATGAACTAAGATAGAGTAAACTGAATGTAATTATCATAGAACATTGCTTTTCCATCTTAAATTCTTCTAACAAACCTTGGTTCTGAGGCTTTTTGTCCTGCATTGTGGCCACAGGATTTTTGTTGGGGGGAAAAAAATCTAACTGCCCACAACATCTGGTTAAGATTAGGGCAGTTTCCTGCCTAAGGAGGGAGGGGAAAGAGAAAGGAAGAAATGCATAAGGAAGGTGAGGCAATAGTAAATGTCTCACAGAGAAGAGGAAACACTGTTAACTTTTGCATTGTCCTCTTCTGACAAGATCTGGAAAAGTGCCAGAATTTAGGCAAGGAGGAGAATGCCCTGAAGAAATAATCAAGAAGCAAAACTTAGCGAGAAATCTCTCCTTTCTGTATTCTGCAACCCCACTCCCACCTTGCCCGAACCTTGTTCATCTCCAAGCATGCTGGGGACTCTGGAGGAGGCAGAGATGAGTCCATTATGGTTGTACAGTTTGTACCCCTTTTCTGGTTGTCTGTGCAAGTGTGTGTGTGAGAGAGTGTTATTTGAATCTCCCTACATCAAAATACTTGGAATCAGATGTACCAGTACCCCATCCAAATTTAGGCCCTCCTATCATTGATTAATTTTTCATATGAAAAATCACCATTCTCTGTCTACCTTTCTCATAGAGCCTAGTTTTCCTCTGCCTAATGGTTCAGAGGAAGGGATTCTTTGAGATCATGAATCCCTGCATTATTACTGTGTGAGCATGCATTTTTCTGAAGAGAGGGACTATATACTTTTATTAGTTTCTCAAGAGAGCCTATGACTCCTAAAAGGTTAAGAGTCACCTGTTTAGGAATGTGACTCCAGTTATTTCCTAATCCCAAGCCAGGCTGTGAACCCCCTGCCAAATGAAAGAGTGTCCCCTAATTATGCCCTTCCCTAGGATGTGGGGACTCAAGGTTCTGCTGCTACCCGTGGTGACCTTTGCTCTGTACCCTGAGGAGATATTGGATACCCAGTGGGAGCTATGGAAGAAGACCCACAGCAAGCAGTATAATAGCAAGGTGCCTGGGTACTTGGAGAGGAGTATGGCAGGGGGGCTGAGACTTGGGATCTCCGGTTCTAGCTTCCAGACTCCCTTCCTCAATCCAAATACTTTATTCCAAGCAAACCTGTCTCTGTTCCCAAACTCTTAACACAGAGTTTTCATTCCTATGCCTCAACTCACCTTCCATCAAGTTGTATCCTTCCTTTGCTTTATAACTGTCTTATATTTCTCTTTTGGGAAGACTTCTCAGATGAATGCTATTAATCTATAAGCAATTTTTCTCTCTCTCTCCAGAGTTTTGCATTGTATTATTTGTATTTGATTACATATTTATTTTTGCACGCTCTTAATAATCCATGGTTAGCTCCCCAACTAAATTGTAAACTCGTTATGGTTGTGAGTTTCATCTTTTCTCCTAAAAACCTCCCCAGCATTGCATATGTAACATTATACACGGTCTATGAAATACTGACTATGCTCTGTTTAGGTGGATGAAATCTCCCGGCGTTTAATTTGGGAAAAAAACCTGAAGTATATTTCCATCCATAACCTTGAGGCATCTCTTGGTGTCCATACATATGAACTAGCCATGAACCACTTGGGGGATATGGTGAGTTGAGCCTCAGCTCCTGGCCCACCTGCCCTATTTGCTTTAGTTCCCTGCTGATGCCTGGCTTCTTTCTTCTTTGTCTCAGACCAATGAAGAGGTGGTTCAGAAGATGACTGGACTCAAAGTACCCCCTTCTCATTCCCACAGTAATGACACTCTTTATATCCCAGACTGGGAAGGCAGAGCCCCAGACTCTATTGACTATCGAAAGAAAGGATATGTTACTCCTGTCAAAAACCAGGTACTCTCTTTTCTTCTGGGTATATGTATGTAATCTGGCATGACCTCTTCTTTTTGCTGCTGCTTTGTTCTTGAGATAGGAGGGAACCAGGAAGAGGGGAGAAGGAATTATGGTACATCTCCCCATGCTAAGAGAATATAGCCTAAACCATTATTTAACTCCTCACCTACTTTTGTACATTTAGCTTGTTTCTATTTTTTTTTTTTATTACAAATAGTGTTGCAGTCCGCATTCTGGTGCATATATTTTTGTATATATGTACAAATAATTATGCAAAATAAATCCTAAAATTAGAATTGCTTGTTCGCAGAGAATCCTTTCCAAAAAAGCTTTTACAATTCTATATTCTTTATTTTTTATTTATTTTTTTATTTTTTTTGAGACAGAGTCTCACTCTTTTGCCTGGGCTAGAGTGCCGTGGCGTCAGCCTAGCTCACAGCAACCTCAAATTCCTGGGCTCAAGCGATCCTTCTGCCTCAGCCTCCCAAGTAGCTGGGACTACAGGCATGTGCCACCATGCCCGGCTAATTTTTTCTATATATTTTTAGTTGTCTGGTTAATTTCTTTCTATTTTTAGTAGAGACGGGGTCTTGCTCTTGCTCAGGCTGGTCTCGAACTCCTGAGCTCAAACAATCCGCCTGCCTCGGCCTCCCAGAGTGCTAGGATTACAGGCGTGAGCCACCGTGCCCGGCCTAATTCTACATTCTTATAAGCATGAAAATGCCAGTTTTCCCACAACCTTAACAACAGGATTGTATCAGCAAGATGAACAATTGATTTAACATTCATTGAACAGACACTTTTTCCCCCCCAGAACCTACCAGGTACAGTGCTAGGCAGTAGAGATTTAAGATGACTAAGACAGCTGAGCATGTTGACTCATGCCTGTATTCAACTTTGGGAGGTTAAGGCTGGAGGATCACTTGAGACCAGGAGTTCAAGACCAGCCTGTGCAACATAGTGAGACAACATCTCTACAAAAATAGAAAAATTAGCTGGTATGATGGCATGGCCTGTAGTCCCAGCTAATCGGGAGTTCTGAGGCAGGAGGATTGCTTGAGCCCAGGAGTGTGAGACTGTAGTGAACTATGATCTCACCATTGCACTGTAGCCTGGGTGACAAAGCAAGACCCTGTCTCAAAAAAAGATGATTAGGACATAATCTGTGTCCTCAATCTTAATAGAATAGGAAATAAAGAAATATCTACAGTCTAGCTGAACAAACACTAATAGTAATAGGTAACACTTTTTTTTTTTTTGAGACAGGGTCTTCCTCTGTCACCCAGGCTGCAGTGCAGTGGCATGATCACAGCTCACTGCAGCCTCAAACCCTGGGGCTCAAGTGATCCTCCTGCCTCAGCCTCCTGAGTAGCTGGATCTATAGGCCATGCCACCACACATGGATAATTTTCCTATTTTTCATAGACATAGCATCTTGCTGCCCAGGCTGGTCTCAAACTCCTGGCCTCAAGTGATCCTCCCACCTCAGCCTTCCAAAGTGCTGGGATTACAAGCATGAGCCACCATGCTCAGCCATAACTAACACTTTTTGAGAGATTATTATGTGTCAGGAACTTCTAAGCTCTTTACATGAATTAAATCTTTTAATCCTCATAACAATCCCATTAAGTATGTTATTGTCCACATTTTCCAGACAAGGAAACTGAGGCACAGAGAGGTTTAGTATAATAACCAAGGTCACATAGCTAGTCACTAAGGTTAGAACCCAGGAGAACTACTTCCAAAGCTAGTACTCTGCTCTGCTCTGCTTTGCTTTACTGCTGCTAATAGTAAAGATGGTAACACTTATTAATAGTAACAGAACAGTGCAACAAATGTTAAATGAAGGGGAAGAGGAAGACTTCGCAACAAAGGCAACATTTGTGCTGAAATTTATAGAATGAATGGAATTTCTTCAGGCAGGTAGAGAGAAGATACAGAAAGTGTGAACAGCAATGATTGGTAGTTCCTCTGTGTGTCTCCTAGGGTCAGTGTGGTTCCTGTTGGGCTTTTAGCTCTGTGGGTGCCCTGGAGGGCCAACTCAAGAAGAAAACTGGCAAACTCTTAAATCTGAGTCCCCAGAACCTGGTGGATTGTGTGTCTGAGAATGATGGCTGTGGAGGGGGCTACATGACCAATGCCTTCCAATACGTGCAGAAGAATCGGGGCATTGACTCTGAGGATGCCTACCCATATGTGGGAGAGGTGAGGTTGCTCCACACAGTTACACACCTCTGTAAGCTCCTCCTTCCCCAGCATGATATTTTGTACTTGAGACAATTCCAGAAATCTTGTTTTCTGTTATTCTATCCTGCCTTCTGGATGGGATAATTTCCCACAGCAGTCCATGAACATTCCCACAATCTGGGAGAATTTAGGGCACTTAGGCTACCACAGTTCTATTTGCCTCTCTTCCCCGAAGAGAAAACAGAGGATAGGTTACCCCATAGACCTCTGAGCAAGTTTCTATAATCCTCTGCTCAATCCCTGCCCCCCTACAACAAACCCACACAACCACCATGCTATTTTCATGAATCATGTGGCTTTATTTTATATGATCTGGGGCTGATAGGTAATATAATATGAGGCCTTTCTGACAGGAGCCTTTGGAGCAAGGATATAAAGTTTGAGTAATAAAAATGATGGCCACTATGTGCTAAGCCATGTGCTTGAACATTTTCTCACTTAATCCTCATAACAGCCCTGTAAGGTAGACTTATCCTCACTTTATAGGTAAGAAAATTGATACTTAAGGAGACAAGACTTAGCTACCAGGTCTGTTTGTCTGCTGTAAATATTCCCAGACAGGTCTCCTATGTACGTGTGCAAGAATTTCTTACTAGGATATAATGCCTTAGAACAGAATCGTCTGGGTTGTAGGGTTTGTGTATCTTCCAGTTTACTGCATAATGTCAAATTGTTTACCAAAGTATTTGGAAAAATTTACACTCCAACCTTCAGTATGTAAGAAATCCCATTGATTCACATCTTTGTCAGTATGTTTATCTGGCCATTTATGCCTCAGCCTCCTGAGCAGTAGATAAGATATTCTTTTTTTTTTTTTTGAGACAGAGTCTCACTGCGTTGTCCGGGCTAGAGTGCCGTGGCGTCATCCTAGCTCACAGCAACCTCAAACTCCTGGGCTCAAGCGATCCTCCTGCTTCAGCCTCCCAGGTAGCTGGGACTACAGGCACACGCCACCATGCCTGGCTAATTTTTTTCTATTTTTAGTTGTTTGGCCAATTTCTTTCTATTTTTAGTAGAGACGGGGTCTCGTTCTTGCTCAGGCTGGTCTCGAACTCCTGAGCTCCAACGATCTGCCCGCCTCAGCCTCCCAAAGTGCTAGGATTACAGGCGTGAGCCACCGTGCTTGGCCAAGATATTCTTATAGATGCAACCTTAGAGTTTTGAAGGGGTAGTCTGTAGGAAAATGAATTGCCAAAGAGAATATACCACCTTGACATGGTCTATCATTGGATTACATAATGGATCACAGGCTAAATTGATCAGTTCTTTAATTAACATATTTTAGTGTCATGTTATATGCTTTTATATTGTATCTTCAATGAGAGCATAAGGGTCCAGCCAAAACTCTTTGCCTTATACCAGCTCCCCTGATACAGTAGCTGCAGAGGGCCCAGGTCCTCCCTCTAGCTGGGCCGTGACCTTGGTCTCCACACAGCAGTTGATGCCTTCCTGCCCTCTGAGGCTCACGCATACTACATAGCCAGAAGATGATTTGTACATTTTTTAAAAACATCTTATTTCAGAAACCTTTTTCTACTCTGAGGTAATAAAAATATTTTCTCTCCTTTTAGAGTTTTAAAGTTTTTTTCTTCCACATTTATGTCTTCAAACTACCTAGAGTTGATTTTTATGTGTGGTAGGAGTTAAGAATCTACTTTCATATTCTTTTTTATAATTTAATAAAATGGTGAGGAGACTCTAGTCTGCTGCCCCTGTTAGTTCACTGTCATTGCTCAAAACATTGGTTGAGTTTTTCACTCACCAGCTCATTGCCTATTGCTTCATCCTAGTTCTATTACAACCTTGTTTCTTCCAGGATGAAAGTTGTATGTACAACCCAACAGGCAAGGCAGCTAAATGCAGAGGGTACAGAGAGATTCCTCAGGGGAACGAGAAAGCCCTGAAGAGGGCAGTGGCCAAAGTGGGACCCGTCTCTGTGGCCATTGATGCAAGCCTAACCTCCTTCCATTTTTATAGCAAAGGTAAGGAGCTGTTCCTATAGAGAACTGTCTTTTATGATGTAGGCATGGCAGCTTCTCGAAGGACCCGGAGTATTTTCGGTACTTGGTTTTCATATTCTGATTGAGTCTGCCAAAGAGAAACTAACAGTTGCTGCAATGCAGAATATCTCTGTTGTAAACTCTCCTGACTGGGATGGAATTCTAGAGTCTCCTAGACTGGGATACCCCACAGGGCGTATTGGATTGCAGAGAGCCTCACCTTGATAGTTTGTTTTCTAGGTGTATATTATGATGAAAGCTGCAATAGTGATAATCTGAACCATGCAGTTTTGGCAGTGGGATATGGAATCCAGAAGGGAAACAAACACTGGATAATTAAAAACAGGTAATGATGGAAATACTACTTTTGTCTCTCAGTAACCCTTGGAACACTCAGACTCACCTCTAGCTTCCCAATGTTCCTTTCTTGCTTCCAAATCAAGAGAAAACTGTCTCAGGCTTTTCAGTTCTATCTTTCCAGTCAGAGGCTTTTAATTCTAGTCTAACATTTAATGGTCAGACAATAGTACTCAAAGTATGTGTTGGGCAGATGCTCCATGTGCAAGGTGCTTAGTAACATACATAAGAAATGGGGCAGATGTCTGCTTTAAGGGATCTCAGAGCCAATAAGAAAGACAGACCTAACTAACCATAACATAAAGAAGCAAAAAAAGCCAATAGAAGCTTTGGAATTATCTATTTTTACTTTCTTTGGTCTCTAATGTGATCAATTTCTTAGGGAAGTTTCCATTATCAGTCTGTCTATAAGCAGCAGAGGAACAATGTAAAGGTTTAATATTCCGTTGTGCAGCTTTTTGTTCTTCAAGATACGCTTGAAGAGTATAAACTTTTATATATATAAGAACTTGCCAAAGATTGTGAAGTCTGTGAAGAGAAACACTTTTTAGAAATAAGATATGAACAAAAACAAATTAGTGTTTCCTTCCCTATTATTGGGAACAAATAGAACTCTAGGGCACCCTTGCTTCCCATCTTTCTTTACCTCCTTGCGGCTTTGGAAATGGGGGACAGATTTATGGGAATTATACTTTTCCTTTCCTGGTTGGTCACCACCAACCTGGAAGCATTACTGATTAAATTTGCAGTCTTTGCTGATCTCCAAGGAGCAAGAATCCTAGACTCTCAGGAATCACAGAATAATACAGTGGTATCATCAAATTGGGCTGCTATCTGGAAGGCTGGCAGGCTAGATTGTGAGGCTGGGAGTTGCTTCACAGTCCCAGCTCAGGGTGAACCTGAGCACTTTTCTAATCTCACAGCTTCTGTCGCTGTTGTCCCTTTCTCAACTCCCCGGCCCAAGCACTTACCTTGTTCTTTCTTGATCAGGTGCCAAGGGTAGAGGTAACATCCAAGAGAGCTAGGAGGAATAAGGGACACACCCAGGCAGGATCAGGAACAATGGGGGCACCTGAAGAAGGAGAGAACTGGGGTAGGGTACAGGTCTTAAGTAAAATATACTGGGTAATTCAAGAAGTTGCTGGTTGGGGAAAAAGGACAGGAAACTCATGAAAACAATTTGGAAGATATACAGACAGACCAATCTCTCCTCTCTTCTTTCTCTCTGTCTCTCCTATCTTGTGGTCTCTCCACTTCTTTTCTTTGTATTCTCATCTACTTTCATGGTTCCATCCATCTGTCCTATGGGGTTTTCTCCCAAATTAAAATCGCCAGCTTCAGCCTCTCTTGCATCTTTCTTATGCCCTAGACTTACATTTTCAAGAGTAATCTTCCCCAAATACAGCTCTAATCATATCACTCTCCCACTCAAAAACCTTCGCTGGCTCCCCCACGATGATGGGTCACAAGTAAAGGTCAAACTCTTTAGTCTTACAATAAAGATAATTCATCCTGATCTCAATCTATCTTTCCAGACATGTCTTCCACTGCACCCTGTGAGGTACCCTATTTTTCAGCCATATGATCCTAATACATGTCCCATGCTTTCCTGCCTCTGTTGTTCATTTCACACCCCTCCACCAGCATCCCCTTCCCGCAGGTCAAAATTCTACCCAGCCTTTTGGCTCGGTTCAAATGACACCTCTTACATCACCATTTTTGGTTCTCTTGATCAGAAGCAATCTCTCCCACCTTTGAGACCAATAGTATTATGTCTTTTCCTCACTTCTTGACTTTAAATTCTTTAAAGGTAAAAAATATTTTATTCATTTTTGTATACCATCAGTACCTAGCGCAGTACTGTAAGTGTAAGTGTTTTAATGAATAAATAAAGTGAGGGTACTAAGTATTTTTCTTGATTTGTCCTACAGCTGGGGAGAAACCTGGGGAAACAAAGGCTACATCCTCATGGC